AGGACGCTCAACGACTAGATAGTGAGGAAAAGGGGAAATAGAGGTCGACCAATAGCAGCAGGACAACTAGGCGATAAGAAGGATGCGCACATGCACATTAGAAATGAATAAGCAATAGCTGAATCACCATGTCCAAGTTATCAGCGCTAGCATGTAAGACAACTGTAGAACCTAATTTCAATGAAGATCGTAAGGAAAAATTGTATAAAAACCCGGCATTTGCCAAAAATAAACTGAGATCATCTTTGGAAATTCAAGCGTATGTTTATTTCTAAGCCTTCTGGCGGAGCGAGTGTTTTTGCTCTAGGTGATCTTCACTTGATGCGTATATACTCTGCAACAGAAAGAGAAACTAATCGTTTATATAAGATGAATGATTTGGTGGCTATTAAGCGCACGCAGAACGGAACAGGGTTAAAATTAAAAGGAAAGTTTTTTAGATCTTATCAAGTAATTAAAGTAAAGAATCATGGCAGGTATGAGGTAGAGAAAATCGGAATTGGCGAAGGACCTTGTAGAACATTGACTGTTTCGGAATTTGGGACTCCTTCGGGTCGAAGGATACGTCTGGACTGCCGAATGTGGGAATCCAAGATGCGCCACAATTAGAGAGAACAACAAGAAGTGGCCGACGCTACTAAATGTCGCTCTCATTTGTAGCTTTGCTCTCTTGCCATTGCATTTCACCATACTTTTAAACGACAGTTGCCAACAAGTGAATAACTTTCGATCCTATATATACTTGTATATTATTTTCGCATTTCTTTATTTTAATTTCTCTATCTCTTTTTTTTTGTTTTGGGAGTATAATTGATTATTTATAGAAACAAATTCGATTTGAGAATATTCTTAATATCTTATTTTTTTCACAATATTCTGTTTAAACTTACTGTATGCTTAAATTGCATATATATATTTTTTTTATTTCTTTGCTTATTTTTTTTCATCATTTTTTTTCACTTGTTGTTTTAACATTGATCCAGGGACAGCTCGTAATTACAAAAATTCTTAGAATTTTTCTTACAGATAAAAAAGTATACATATTCATATTTTAACTTAATTATGCATTACAAGTTTTTATTTTGGCTTAACTATTAATTTTTCCACTTCGGTGTTTTCCTTCCCGGTCGTCTGGGGCCCATGGGCTCAGGCGGTGCGGGCTGGTCATCGCACAACCTTGGCCACCTTAAAAAGGTTGGCGGTGCCAGTGCTGGTCCTTAATCACTTCTGGAACGGGAACAGGTGATCACGCCTTCACCGAGACGCTTGCTTGCGTCGTCCAGGACGTTGCCCACATGATCCACACACATTGAATTTTCTCCTGCAACTCGACCTGCTTTTCTTTCATCTCGTAGTATTATATAATTTCGAGACGCTGTTGCTGGACGAGACGTCCCTTCTCCATGTTAAACTGTTTTTGTACATCAGCATCGCTAAAAGCCATCTTGAGAGATTTTTTTTTTCGTTTTCATGAAGTTGCTCTAGCTCGGTTTGGAAGTACTTGCACTTCACGTCAAAGTCCATAATGCTATTGCGATTGACTAGCAATGGCACATCCGACAGATCCATAGACAGTTGTTATTCTCGTATATTTTTTAATACTTTTTCCGAATGCACCGAACTTTTAATCACAATAATGCAGAAATTTATAATTTTTGTAGTTCGTGTCCTGTCATGTAGTAATATCACGCACTGTTGTTGTTTGTTGAGTTAGCCCCTAGTAATAAACTAGTAGCTAGGTATTTTTACAATCGGTACTTGAACCAAGTGTAATTCGGAGGAGCTCAAAGGGAATTTGAGATCATAAGAGCACGAGTGTTCTTTTTGTTCTGTCTTTATTAACGAAAGAAAAAAGAAAACAAACTTGCACAGCGTACACACATAAGGCATGTTTGTACAAAATTTGTTGTCTCTAGCTCATATAGTCTCTGAGATCCAGGTGTATGGACGGACAGACTGACAGACGAACAGGCAGACAGACAGACAGACAGGGCTAGATCGACTCGTCTCGTCATGCTGATCAAGAATATATATACTTTGTGGGGTCTGCCACGCCTCCTTCTGCCTCTTACATTTTCAGCTCCCGCAAACCAAATATATTCTTGTACATTTTATGTACAGAGTATAAAAATAAAACAAACTCGTATAGCGTACACACATAAGGCATCTTTGTGCAAAATTTGGTGTCTTTATCTCTTATAGTCTCTGTGATTCAGGTGTTCATACGGACAGACAGACAGGGCTAGATCGACTCGTCCCGCTGATCAAGAACATATGTACTTTGTGGGATCTGCCACGCCTCCTTCTGCCTGTTAAATTCTTCAGCTCCCGCAAACCTATACTCTTGTGCATTTAATTTACAGAGTATAAAAGGGTACTTAGCCCGAATTAGCCCTTTTTCTGAGTCATTCCTAGTCCTCTTCTTGTCCCCAGCTATTAAATCCTCCTTTTAGCCTTTTTTCTTCGTATCCAAAATTTGCATTTAGCCACTTTGCCGAGGTTATCTGCTGGCATTCCTAAGGAGTGCCCACCTGACAAAAAATTTTGCAACAGTGGAGGAAACCATAAGGTCAACTATAGAGGTTACTCTGTCTTAAAAAGTCGCATAAGCCAACAAAGAAGCACAGTTCAAAACACAGTTATTCGACAAAATTTGTCGTACATTCCATAAACTACTGCCCACTGCAAGCCCATCCAAATTGCCTAGGGGGAATTGAATCAATACAATGGAAACAATACAATGGTAGCAATACAATAAACAATGCAGCAACTTATGCGCAATGAAAATCTCCTCCTGGAGCTCTTAATCAGGCAGAAATTTACTTAAATGGCTTCTTTAAATATATCTTTCTGGAATGTGAATGGCATTTCATAGCAGAAATGCGAGTACTTGCAGTTCCTCCATCATCATTGACATCATGCTTATATCAGAGCCTCAATTAACGACCAAAAACTTTTTATCTCAATGGCTACAACTTCAAAGCGAGAAATCATCCTGATGGTAACCCTCATTGAGGTATTGGCATTCTTATCAAGCATCGCATCAGGCATTACCCGTTGCCACCATTTCCTACAATAATTCATATTGAAACTCAAAGCATTTACTTAAACCTAGCCGCAGTATACTTCCCACGGCGCTTCTCAGTTTCTGAAGCAGAAATTGTTAATTTCTTCGACCTGCTAGGTGACCGCTTTTTAGCATCTGGTGACTACAATGCCAAACACACACATTGGGGACCCCGACTCATCAACCCTAAACGATGAGAACTATATAAAGCTATAATCACACCACAAAACAAGCTTGACTTTATTTCTCCAGGCTGATCCAAAGAAGCAATCTGACTTGATTTATTTTGATGCCACGTACTCTGATTCGTGTGAAGCACTTAACAGAGATATCATCGGATCACTCTCCAATCCTTCTTCACCTTTACGACCACCGACAGTTCTCGGAACACCAACACTTTCTAACTTCTATCAAAACATATTCAGCGGTGTCCCAGAAATCTCTTCCGCCCAAGCTTCGCCTCAAAACCAATTCCCAATCCACAGAAATCGCGTTTGGGAACTTACAAATGGATGTTTGCTTTGCTAGGAGTTTTGATTAAAAACACTAACAAAGACATTTTTCATAAAAGTAATCATTGGAATATAAACCTTATAGTTTTTCTGAACAATCTGCATTAAACATATTAAAAAAAAATTTTTTTTTATTCCTTTTTACTCCGCTTGGGAGCTTAGGGCTTCTACAAGAACATTTTTCCATCTGACTCTCAATTTCTAGCCCTCTGTCTGTCTTGGCTGTATCCCATGTGGTGTTGTTTCTGGGTTAAATTCTGAAGGTAATCCGCCGCCAGGTTGTCGTCTTTTTTTTTAGGTCTGTCGACCCACCCGATTGTTTCCTTGGAAGTGTTCTTCCAGAGTATCCGTAACATCGACATCGAAGTGGAGCCGTTTTGGGTTCATTTGTCTTGTATAAGTTTCAATAATCATTTGTTGTAAGTCGACCTGGTGATTGGCCAGATGCGACTTATCCCAGTGGTGGGGCTGCCACCTGTAGCCGCCAGGGAGAGGCGTCTTGGGCGGGTTATACTATTGTGTTGTCCAGATAGCGTGGATGGATGTGTTCTTTTTGGTGGATAAATGACCACGACGTTGAAGGCATGTATTTGTGTGAAAATAGTTGCTATACAGCTAGCATTTCCACATCCTCATCGAGCATCAGTCGTCTCTGATAGCTCTGCGTCACTCGTGTGCTCAGGGCCTCCGGCTAGCTGTTACATTGACGACAAAATCGTCTACTCCGGTTCTCACGAGTGTGGGTGCTACTCTTTCAACATGTTTTGAAATTAACGCAAAACTCATTAGCACACAAAAATTTCACAATTTCTACCGACGGTTGATTCCTTATGCAGCAAAAATACAAATTCCTCTTACTTTTTATCTTCAAGGCGCAAGTGGCAAGTGTGAAATAACATGGACGGCAGAAGTAAACAAAGATATCGAAAATTGCAAACATGTGATAACCGAGCAGTATTACTCTCGCCCTTAGCTCAACTATCCCAAAACACAGATGCATCGGATATAGCAATTACAATGTGATGTCTAGGACCCAGTGGGTTTCTTGCCGTTCGTCACTGTGCCTGCAAAAACTAACTAAACCATATGTACCAGCCAGTATACGACGACGAATTTTTAGTACCCAAAAATGTACAACTAGGAATTATAAATTCCCTTTCTCAAATTTTTAAAAACATGTGATAATTTATTTAAAGATTATGCTATTAATGTATCGATATTTGATAGACAAAAATACCAAAATTCCCACTTTCATTATCAGCTTCGTGATTATATTCTTGAGTTCAACAGCACAACTGGTATAAAAAATAATTTAAAATGGGCTGTGATATTATCTGTCACTCGCAACAGTTAAATACTCGTGCCAAACTAACCGTTACTTCATAGTATTCGTCCCTAATGTTCGTGCTTTGAAAACGTTTGTCATAGGTATAGAAGTTCCAATTCTATATTGAAGTACATTTCAGTTAAAGAACGCCAAAAGTTTAGAAAGGTAAAGTAAAAAAAAACGGTAAAAGAATAGAGTAATATCTTACTACTTGCACTTGCATACGTCAAATTCATATAATGGAGGAAATCAACAAAATTTTGCAACAAGGTGAACATGCCACAACTTCAAGCAGCGAAAGTGATTCAGAAATACCACATGGAAAGCCTGCCAAAAGCAGTGTTAACACCGTAACTGTAGCATGTAAAGGTGTAAAGACAAAGCAGAAGAAAAATGGATCGGCCCGTCTACCAACTAGGCGCCCGGATCCTAATGTGTACAACAGGAATGCAATACTTGCCCGTGAAAACCGTCGTAAAAAAAAAGCCTACTTGGAGGCCGTCGAGAAGGAGCTTGATGAAACACGCAATGCCAACAGATCACTCTTGAGGGCACTCAAAAAGCAGTTAAGGGCCAATGTACGGCTGGAGAAGGAAAGAAATTATCTCAAAAAAATTTTAGGTAACTGCAAGGATAAAACGGATTTGACTTCTTTTTTGAATGGGCCGAATATTACATCTGCTGATGAATCTTTATATCCTATAGATACAATTAGCAATGCAGCTAACTTCGGTGGCGCGTGGTGTAAAAACCCACAGAATTCGGAGACCGAATGTGAACCGCATCAGTCACATACAAAGCAACATTCTGCGACTTCGTGGAGTAATTTTCTTGATGATTTATTTGCAGACAATACGATGATGCCTACATTATACAATAATTGGAATGAACTTCCCGACCAAAATAGTATAGTTCTTACAAACATTTCAAACACACCTGTGGAAATAGACAATCAAATTTCCATTTTAGGTGAAGAGCATAATTACTTTAAGCATGGCACAACTTCCAACTATAGTGGAAAAGATGGCACTTGTTTTCATATTGCTGCCGGGACGATTTCGCTAGATTTTTGCCCAAGTTGTCAGTGCAGTTCTAATCGTGTTCCCCCTATGGAGCTGCTGCAAGATAGCTTTGACCACTCAACCAATTATTGTCAGTAGTTGTTTCTTATTTGAAAATCGATTATATTTTATTATTTAAGCTTTATTCTGTAAAGCACTATAATTGTTCCTTAATTAATGTGAATTGTTAATATTCAATAAATATGTATAAGTTAATAATGATATATTTATATACATACATAAGTTAATAATTTGGGTGTTTATCTATATATATATAAATGAAAGTACAGGGTGCGCCATCTTTTATGTCGGTATGTAAACATTGAATATCTTTGAAAATAAACAACCGATTTTCAAGTATGAGATATTTTTATTTAATTTGGTTCTGTACAAATTCTTGAACTGAGGCTTTCAGCACTGGTCTACTCAAATCAATCGGTTCACTAATGACAAAGCCACTCAATATCTACACACCGACATAAAAGATGGCGCATCCTGTATGTATGCATATACATATACACTTAATTCTGTTTTTACATGGTAGATTGGTTCCAGAAACAACCGTCTAAAAAAAGACATTGATCATATGCAAAAATAGGTGATTGGTTCCTTATCTCTAAAGAAATTTATATGAAATGTTTAATTTTCAAACCGCTAAACCGATTTTGATCAAATTTTGTGGCAATATTCAAAGTAGTCCAATGGGTAATCCTGTGTTTCGTGGCAATTCGTCAACGTTATCAACCATCGTTTGGCAAATGCGCGAAAGGGTATCCAAATCTGATCCAAAAAACACCAACAGGGGGTGATGGACATCCTTTGTACAGACGACGAAAGGTAGACGACAGTGGGTACTAAATCAAGGACGTAATCGAAGCCATAAAAAGCGAAGGACGTATTAGAAAGAAAAGGGCAGCAATGCAAACCGGAAACGCTAGTCTATATATATAAAACAGTTTGTCCTGACTGACTGACTGATTGGTGATCAACGCACAGCCCAAACGGTAAAAGCTAGGAAGCTGAAATTTTGACTCAAGTATACTTTCATAGTGTAGGCTGGCGATAAGAAGGGATTTTGGAAAATTCGAGCTCCAAAGGGGGGAAATCAAGCTCCAAAGTTTGTTTGAAAAATCCTCATTTTCAAATAAATGAATTCAAAGAAAGTTGCATATTTGGTTTTTTGAATATTTTCTTAGAGACTGAATTATTGGGGCATAAGAGGAAACCGCGTCAACAGCCCAAACGGTAAGAGCTAGAAAGCTGAAATTTGGTGTCAAGTATCCTATCATAGTGTAGGTGCGCACTAAGAAGGGATTTAGGAAAATTCGAGCTCCAATGGGGGGAAACTAGCTCCAAAGTTTGTTTGAAAATTCTGAATTTCTGCACCGATCAACTTTAAATGATTGATTTTTATAATCTATAAAAGAATACAAACAAAACTGCATACTCGGATTTTCGAAATTTGTGGTGGAGCTTGAATTATTGGCGTTTTAATATTTATTCACCTTTTCAAATGAAAAGTTTGTGTTATAAATTTTTTCCGATCGATTTCAAATTTGGGGACTGTAAGACTATTTTGTGAGTTTATTCATGCGATTTACAAAAGCAGAAACACCCCTTTTACATTCACAACAATCATATTTGGAATTGAAGACACAAATTAGTGTTGAATTAAAAAATTTAATACATACTTATATATGTATGTATGTATATAGGCGGATAACGCCTGCATGAAAAATTTAAATGTATGTACATATCAGCGTTGCCGAACGCTCCAATTTTGGCGGGACGTCCCGATTTATAAATCAAAATTAAATGTCCCGCGTCGGACTTTTCGGGGATAACTCGACCGTGCGTACAACGTGCTCAGGAAGCACACAATTATGTCAGGACTGGCAGTCCGCCCGGTGCGTAACGAAGACATGTATGTATGTACGTATAACCATACAAAGTACTTATTGCACTATATTTGCTTTTTGGAAAATGAACTCTTGGACTTAACCTAACTTTATTTTGGGGGCTCGCCGTCCTTCTCTAGTGACGACACCCTGAGACGGTGGCCAAGGCGTCGATGCAACCTTTGATTATTACATTATAGATTAACGAAATTGGCTTTACATCTGCAATTTGATTTTTGTGACTTGGCGTTTTTGAATAACAGGCTACCCATGGCTATTGAATGCTTGTAGATATTCAGACCATAAGATGTCTCATTGCCCGATTTGCTGCACAAAAATGGGGGAATGAATACCATTTATGTATTTATACCATATGCCATATAGGGCATTTCAGAGTTGTAGGGGTTTTTTCAGCTCTGACAGATCATCCATGAATGGTTTTCCCAGGGTAGGAAGTCTGCGTCTGCTCAGCGGTGGACATTAACAGAGGAGGTACTCAACACTTTCCTCCTCCTCCTCATCTCTGCAGGCTTAATGCCAACTCTGGCAGCATGTCTACCAACCGGGCAGTCTCTAGTCTCACCCACTCTCTTGGTGGGTGCCACCAAGACTTCCTTCCTGCCCAGTTTTATGAGTTGTTGCGTATTTTCGGGGTCCAGGGACGGCCAAGTCAGTTAGCGGCATACCAATACCCTCCCTTTTATGATGGATTAGTACTGTCGTTCCTTCTCTTCCCTCCCTTCGTGAGCTCATCTGCGATGCAGTTGCCCTCGCTCTGCCGGTGACACGGACATACTGGGCCATCTCGTTAAGAGATCTGTGGCAGTTCATGATGACCCTGGTAAAAGTAGAATGGCCTATTACCAACTGTGTGCGCAAGTAAATATTTTGTGGCCTTCATTAATGCAGTAATTTCTACCTGGTAGACCCTACACAGGTCAGGAACACGGAAGGATAATTTAATCCACAATTCCGGAGGGAAGACTCCTCCACCGACTCTCCCTCTCTTTTGGAGCCATCTGTGCAGACGTTGATGGCGCCGGTTCAGATGAGTGAAAGACCATCCCATCTGTCATAGCACGTAGCAGCTGGTTTACAGTCAGCAGCCACAGAAGAGGAGAGAGAACACCTGTGGAGTGCCCTTAAAAAAGAACTCAGGGGTGGTCTGACCGCTGAACTCAGCATTCATAGCTCTACTGATGAGCAGCTGCCCGACGGGAGGTCCTACCACCCCAAGCTCTATCAGAGGTTGAACAGAATATATACACTCTGTGCGCCTCCTCCCGCAAACCTAATATACTCTTGTACATTTCATGTACAGAATATAAAAAGCACTTATTCAATCCGGTGTCCCTGCCGGCTAGTTCTTTGATATATCCTAATAACAATTGTCAAAAAAGCTAGAATATATTCCTAAATTTCTTAGTTCCCAATACCAAACCGTTAGAGGTATTGCATCGAAGCTTTAGTGATTGCACTCATCTTATTCCTTTATCACAGCATGACTTTTTGGATTGTGTTCTTGAATTTTCTATTGTGCAAATTAACCCGGGTTACGTATATAGTCGAGGCTAGATGGTGGGTATAGGAAAGAGCTTGATCGACTAAAGGTTTCTCTCTAGTTATACTCTGTACATGAAATGTACAAAAGTATGTACATTAGGTTTGCGCGAGCTGAAAAATGTAGCAGGCAGAAGGAGGCGTAGCAGACACGACAAAGTATATATATATTCATGATCAGCATGACAAGACAAGTCGATCTAGACATGTCCGTCCGTTTGTCCGTCCGTATGATTACCTGGATCTCAGAGACTATAAGAGATTGAGACACCAAATTTTGCACCAAGATGCCTTATGTGTGTACGCTATACGAGTTTCCTCTTTTTGACATAAGGACACAATCACTACTTCTCCCTGTTACATACATTCGCACAAAACTAGTATACCCTTTCATCCTTTAGGTGCAGGGTATAATTATGAGGTTAAACAATAAACATCCCTTCTTGGGCTAGCAAATATTCTTGGCTGAGCGGGCGATTTGGTTTTGTTTTTTATTTTAAATGTTTTTTTCCGAAATAAATTTACAAAATAACGTTTTATTGGCCTACAGTCAAGCAAGCCCGACAGTTAAACACCCTGCACTCTCCACAAAAAAGTAAAATTAAAAAACCAATTATTTATTGTTATTGTTATGAACAAGAGAGAGTTGATTTCAGTGAAAGACGTGTTTTCTTGAGCTCTGTGTTTTTTATTATTTTTGCCATTATTTATTGTTTTACTTTGTGAAGTTAATGTCTATTTGGCCCATATTGTGCTCAGTTTAGTGGTTGTGCATTTAACAGGTATTTATTTTATAATTTTATAGTTTCGGCGTCAGTGCACTGCATTTTGTTTTTGCAATTATTTTGCATTTTGTTTTTAAGCAGCTCCCTTTGCGTCCAAAAGGTTTCTGTGAGTGTTCGCGGTAGCCCTCCCATTGTGCACTTTGCTCTCAGTCAGCCTTCTTGTTGTTGTTTTATGTTTGCTGTATGTCGCAGAACCTAAAAGCTCATCTTAGTGGCGCTCAGTTTTTTTTGCTCAGTTTTTGCTTACAGCATTCTTCTTAAGCTTTGCACTAACTACGTTATTTAGGTCATTCATCCTTCTATTTATTCCGCCTACAATGTTTTGCTGCAACAAGTCTTGCACAGTTAAAGATGCAATTGATTCTGATCAACTTCGGTTTGTTAACTGTTGGTTGTGCGAGAATTTTATGCATATTAAATGTGCAGGATTAAGTGGTCGTGACCCCGACAAAGTTTACTCACCTAAAAAAGGCTGTGGTGGTTTGAGGTGGTCATGTCCTGTTATAGCTTCGCGACCTTTTTCGCTTAATATTCTGTATCAGAATGTTAGGGGGCCTTTATCCAAACTCGGGAATTTAATTCTGAGCAGTTTTTCTTTTGATTCTAATATTATTGCGTTTTCAAAAACGTGGTTAAATCCTACGATTTCTAATAATGAATTTTTATCAGATGAGTTTTGTATCTTTCGTCATGATCGTCCGAGTCGTCGAGGCGGAGGGGTACTGATTGCAGTCAAATCCAACCTTCGGTTGGAAATCATTGATGGGAATGTGCCAAATGATGTTGAATTTGTTGCTGTAAAAGTAACTTTTCCGTCTTTTGCTCTTTACATCACTTGCTCGTATATACCTTTCTCATCCGATATTCAGGTTTATATGCAACATATAACTTGTATTAAAGGAATTTCCACTCATCTCTGTGACAGAGACGCGTTTGTTGTGCTACGTGATTTTATTTTGCCTAACATAGAATGGTAATTTTTCAATGAGTCCAAA